TGCTTCCTTCCTATTTTCATGAATCTCACCAGGCTCCATTACTTCCTTTTCAAGGTGATGATAAAGTAAAATCCACATATTGCAATAGCAAAGTTCACCAGCAGAGATGACAGCTGTGAGGAACCTGAGCCTTACTGCAGTCATGGATCTTCATGTAAAACCAGCTTGTTTTCCAAACCATGGCTTGCAAAAGGATGAGAAGAACTTGGATGCAGATACTACTGTTTGGGTGACAGATTTTCTAGCATTCTTGCCACTAAGCTGCAAAGAGAAATTTCTACTTCTTATAGTATTAAATTAGTATTAATTAGAAAAATCTATATCCACAGAAAGATTACCAGATCCTGAAAGGCTGTTCACAGGAACAAAGACCTTTAAAAGCAGAGTCATGTTTTAAGTGAAATATAAACATTTGAAAAATAAAGGAAGTCACAGTTTCACACACTGGCAAACACAAATCTAACCCCTAGTGCTCTAGAGCAGTTGCTTGAATCACCTGCAGGCAGGGATGAAGGGGGTGGCAGGTACAGGCTGCATTGATAGGGGGGCTTTAATCAGCCCAGCAGCCGTCACCTTCTGTAGCACTGACACTTTTCTCAACCATAGACTGAATCTCACCTGTATGGCAAGAGCCATGCTGCCCCACAGGCTTTGCTTTTGCCAGCAGCTTCTTGGACTACACAGCCACTGATAACCACTTTCAGGCTGAATCCCTGGCCAAACCACAAGGTACCTCACAGTTACTGCCATTTGCTGTCAGGTATCATCACCTAAGTCACACAATTTCTTAGCACTGTGGGTTTGGGATTTTGTCAAATACAAATACAACCAGTTACCTCGTTTCCACTGCAGACTCTGATGGTCCAGGATTGCAGCTGAACTTCTCTGAGGTCTCTGGGTCACACTTCAGCAGCAGATGATGGGTATGAAAGGATTACATTGCAGGGCAAAGCCTGAAAATGGCCCCTTGTCAGTCAAGAGAGCTGAGACAATTGTATTGCACACCTAACAATGAAACTGTGAAAGACTGAATTACTCCTTCAGCTTAAAAAACCCATCATGGATAACACCAGGTTAAATGCTGGGTAGGAGTATTCCTACCCAGGAGGACTGCTGTCCCTGCTCCTGCTAGGACAGCTGGCTGCAGAAGTCTAAGCAATGACACAGCCAAACTTTTCCAACCTCTAACAAGAACAGGAATCCACTATGGTTCAAAAAAATCATGCTTGCCCACAACCATCCTGTACCAGAAGTTGGGCAGCATCACATTTGGAGTCAGACTGTAATCCTGTGCTATATTACAGACTTGAAACACGATGGCAGCTGCATTTTAGAACTCTGCTCTCCTCTGGGGACAAACTGCACTTAGTATTACAGTACAGTCAATAGGTGTTAGGAAAGCAAAGCTCACAGATGGTAAATACAATAAATAATTTAGAACACACTAGAGCAGCTCAGAATCGACATACATGAGAGGAGGAGAAAGAGCATTTCAGGTGAGATTGAATGTAGCATTTATCTGGAGCTCCAGTTTGTTGTTGCAGAACAGTGAAAAAGAAGCCTCTTGGGCTGCTCCTGACCCGTCCCCTTAAATAGAAACCTACACCAAAAAACCCCCTCCCCCCCAATCACACTTGCTAATAGACAGGAAAATCCCATAAAACTACTTTGCCTCTCATGTTCTAAGTGGAGCCAATTTAATATAGAAAATTCTATCATTAGTGACCAACTGTATTCCCACACAAAGAAAATTAAACCAGTCTGTGACAGCCTAGATCTATAGCATTCACTGTGACAACCTTTGCATTAAAGACAGAATATGTCTGGAAAAGTAAAAACCATGAGTTTTCCACAAAATCTGTTAGGCAGCTTTGTCAGATGTGTTAGTATTTAGGTGTTTCTTACTCAACATGCTCCCTCAGTGCCTGGAGAAGAACACATTGGCTGTTTTACTTAAGAGGCATTCAGCACTGGGTATGGTAGTTGGTACAAAGCTCTACCTCTGTTCTAAAGACAATTTGATTTTTCAGTTTAAGAGCTGGACTCACCATTTCTTGGCAACCAAGATCTCTCATCCCGTACCAACATCTTCCTATTTTGATGATACCTAAGTTTAGAGGGTGCTAACAGATAACCACTTCCTAATGCTAACAGATAACCCCTGTTAGCATTAAGAAGTGGTGGCAACAAAGGTCAAGAAGCCCACCTTTAGTCTTAGGAGGAACATATAAACTCTGGGTGCTGATACTGTAAACAAAATCAGTGCCCTGGTTTATCTCTGAATGAACCTCCAAAACAGGAGGTGCTACACAGATCATAGCCTGATCTCAATTATTCTGTTGATGATCCAATATGAAAAATGCTTTCTTTGGCTGCTAACTGACACTTGCTTCTTGGAAGCATATTATTTCTGGCTTACTGAAACAAATACTTTTTATTTTTAACTAAGTGTTGAAAATATTTCAAAGAGAATTGCAAAGTGAGCCTGTAATACCTGGACCAAATATCCTGTTTTGCAGTAATACAGTCTATTTAGGGCTGCCTCAGAAGGTCACTCATACTTCAACTACTGCAATATGTCACCACCTTATAAATGAGAGTGATATCAGCAAACAAAATTGGTACCTTATCATTCCCTGGTACTGGCCGCCTACTCCCAGGTGGAAGGTGTGATGTTACATTTAAATTTAAAGGATTTGGGTGACTAAAGCTGGCTATGAACTCAGTAGTACAAGACAAACTGATAAATCCATCAAGGGCTGTACCCTTAACCAAGAAAACACACAAATTTGCTGAATTCCACAGGGTTGGGGCATTTGGTGCTGAGCCATAACAACTCTGGAACTGCTAAAATGCAAACAGCCTATGACTTTGGCCTTTCCAAATTGCACTACATTTAAAAAAATCCCATCTTTCAGACTGTTATACAGAAGGTCAAAATTAATGAAACCTGTCAAGATATTTTAAACTGAAATCTTCAGGCACTTTCAAGGTATATCATTACATATTTCACAATTCATAAGTCAAAACTTGGAAATGAAGATAGTGTGTCTTTATTGATAGTCTGCCACAAATTAATGCATAAACTTAAGAGTTAGCCAAAAATGTATCTGCCATCCGAACATGGCAAGCATTATCTGCAAAAAGTGGTTGCTTTCTTCTAGTAGATACCCAGATGTCCTGTTACCAGGTCTCACTACAGTGCCATTTGCAATTAAAGTATTGTTTTACACAAGCTGCATGATGCTCACCAGAGTCACTGTCTCTTCATTCCTGCAAGCACACAGACATGTACACTTTAATGTTAAGCCTTTACTGAAGCCAGTGGGACTCATTTGTCTCTCAGGTGAGCTTGCACACCGTATTTGCAGAACTGGAGTTTACAACTACAAAAGCAATGACAAGGGGGACAAGAACAGACTTGCACTACAATAGGCATTCCAACAATTCAATGCATCTATCTTACTGAAGGAAATCATATCTTTACATACTATTGAATGTTAAAAACGAACAAAGATGTTTAAGCACAAAGTATATATTTATACCAAATAAAACAACTGAAAAAGTATTACATAAAGAAAAATAATGTAACAGAATGTACTTAAGTACCTAGCTTACAGTCATGCTCATATCTAAAAATAACATTGTTAAGTAATATATATAATTTTGGACATAATTCTCTAACATACAACATGATTCTGTGATTCTACATGTGGAGAGTACTTTTTCCATGATACAGAACACAAATTGTTTTATACAAGCACACCTGCTAATTTGCATAAAAAACATGCTTGTAAGTGAAAAGGTCACTGTAGTACTAATTTACCATGTAGTGTTAATCATGTTGAAATCGTCTCTTCTCCTTTTGCATTGGTGAGCGCCAACACTGAATGGTACAATATTTGATCCATATGGTTCACTGACACTGCAACCTGTTCCCAAGCAGCAGCCCTAGCCGGGTGTTAACAGTACAGCTCTGTACAGCCCCATCTGCCTGCATATAGTGTATTTAAAACTAACAGCTATTACAATTATTACAATGATTTCTGTTTCAATATATACATCAGTATAAAATACTACCCAAAACACTTTTGCATTTCAAAGAATTTTAACCGCTTCATCAAACAATGCATTTGTAGAATTAAAAAAAAAAATCCGAATTAATATTGATTGCCAACAGTACAGCATCACTATGGTATGCTTCCTAATAAGTGAGAGAACGGAAATGTCTTAATTAAAATAAGTATCACAAAACATAATTAATGTTAGAGCTGTTCAAGGATTCCCAGTTTATCAGTATCTACCCTAAGCCATGCTATCCAAGTACAGTATAAGCCATTTAGTGTTTCTACAATGAGAATAAAACATTCAAATATTAAAGCTGTGACAAACACACAAAAGCAAGGAAAGAGAATTTGTTCTGTACTCATTTCTGTTGTAGTGAGGTACAGCATGTCAGGAGCTTGCACTCAGTGCATCAAATCTGGTTTTGTGCATGGACTGGGGAATGAGATGCTGCAGAGAGGGACCTGAGGGTCCTGGTCTGTGACAAGCTGAACATGAGCCAGCAGTGCCCTGGCAGCCAGGAGGGCCAAGCCTGTCCTGGGGCATCAGGCACAGCATGGCCAGCTGGGCAAGGGAGGGGATTGTCCTGCTCTGCTCTGCTCTGGGGCAGCCTCACCTCCATTGCTGGGGGCAGTTCTGGTGCCACAATATGAGAGGGATATTAAACTAGAGAGAGTGTCCAAAGGAGGGTGAAGGGCCTTGAGGGGAAGCCACTCTTCATGGCTGAGGTCACTTGGTCTGTTCAGCCTGGAGGAGACAAGGGGAGACCTCACTGCAGTCTGCAGCGTCCTCATGAGAGGAAGAGGAGGGACAAGTAAGATCTCTTCACTTTCAAGACCAGGGACAGGACCCAAGGGAATGGCCTGAAGCTGTGTCAGGGGAGGTTCAGGTTGGATATCAGGAAAAGGTTCTTCACCCAGAGGGTGTTTGGGCACTGGAACAGGCTCCCCAGGGAAGTGGTCACAGCACCAGCCTGGCAGAGTTCAAGAAGCGTTTGGACAACACTCTCAGGCAGGTGGTGTGAAGCTTGGGGTGTCTTGTGCAGGGGCAGGAGTTGGACTTGATAATTCTGATGGGTCCCTTCCAACTCAGCTTATTCTGTGATTCTGTATGTGCTATGATACCTGGATACAACTGTGGAAGACAGCTGAAATAAAATCAACTCTGAATTTCCTTGCTGTTGTGGTTTTATGTCAGATCGTTCAAGTTAGGAAAACTTAGTGTCTTTTTCTTTTCCTGAAGGGAGGGAGAGAGAGGAATTCATAATGAATTTTAAAAAATGCTACTAAAACCCCTATCTTGGACACAATAACATTGCTTTAGGAGCTACTGTGTCATTGCACAATATAAGTGGCCTATTACTCACTGAATTATTGGTGTAGCAGAATACATATCATTGTGAATGTGTTTTAAAAATTATTATTTTAAAACTTGCCTGTATCCCATAACAAGCCATAGAATTTTGTGTTTTTCAAACACTAATACATTTATGTAAAGTAGTAAATGTACATTTCTAGTGGCAAATTTCAAATCTCTGCCTCTGCTGCTTCAGTTTTTAAAATAGGATTTGGTTAAGAGGTTTCATTCTTGACATCATCCTAAACCAGAATTATTTCTGAAGCATAAAAGAAATCCAAACTGCAATAGTAATATAATGGGGGTTTTAACTTGTTTTGCTGATTTGTTCCTAGCTTAAAAAATAATCAGTGTCTTGAGAAAAAATGCAAAACAGTAAACCCCAAAAAATCTCTCCTCAGAGAAGTCCCTGCTAACTGAGAGTTTTTTCCAAAACTAAGTTTCACACTTAACAGTATCTTTATAGTCATGTTATACACCCTTGAAAATAAAGGCTCATTGTTGAGAATGGTGATAGGCCCTTAATTTTAGAGGTGTTAACCGGTGACACTATTTTTCATCACAAAAAAACCCAAAAGCCCCACAAAAATAGCTTATATTGAAAATTTGATTCACGCTCATTTTGTTCATTTAAAAATACTCTTTGGAAACTTGTGTCAACTCCTGCAGACAACTTAGTGAGACATCTTTTCCTGTTAAAATAAAAATGATTCATATTCACCTCTACCCCATGCTAAGCTCTACTACTAATATACACTTCATTACCTGCTCATGTCACCATCTAACACATATCTTTACATTCTTCTACATATAGTGTCCAGGGCTTATTTTTCACCAAACAGAACTAGACAACTATTACATTTAGAAGTTTTTATCGATAAGTTTTTTGGTGTTCTAGCCTTTTCATTGCAACACACAGTGATATTAATAGTTCAGAATTTTTGTCCCTGTTAACTTAAGAGAAACTTGTCATAAATTTTTTTCCCATTAAAGATTTTAAAATCTGAACTCACTTAAAGATCAAAACTGAAAACCAGAAGCGAGATTAGATGTAATTTTAAAATGGTTCTGCTACTTTAAGATGCATTTAAAATTTGTACACATAACAAAGGACTCTTAATTTTTACATTGCTGTAATCAGATTCTAATTCAAAGTCTCGCAAATACACATGAAAAATAAGCCACTGGTCATGAAATCTAATGATTACATTCAAAGCTAGCCTTTAAAAAAAATAAAAAAGTTACAGGCAAAACATACTGGTTTATGTACTCACTAGCTTATCAGGCTACAATAGGCACGGTTTAAGTATAAAAAAAAGCAGACAATTTAGATTTAAATAAGACTGTGTGAAATCAGAAAAAAACCCTTAGATTTCACTATTAAAAAAAACAACCCAGAACACCTACAATTACTTCCCATCCTACAGCTACAGTTAAACCAACTAACAAAAATAATCAAAGTATTTTTGAAAAATGGAAGTTAGGCTAGAGTATGTGGCAACAATCAAAGTTCATATATGTTTCTATGTAAAATGACTCATGATTTACTATAACGAAAAATACAAACAAGAGCACTTCGTGGCTAATGCAAGAGTTACTAGTAGGAACACTTAATGCCAAACAGTCTCTTCAGCCCTCCTTTACGTCTTATCTCCAAATCAGTATTGACTTCTTTTGACCAGATACATCATTTTTGGCTTGTCACCCCAGTATGTCATGTTTTACCACTTGCCACAGGCAGCAGGAGACAACTAGCTGAGCAAACTACAAGCAGTGACATGCAGAAATTAACTCTCAAATCTGAGTACTTAGATAAAATGATACGCAAGCGCACACTAGGACAAAAGGAATGGCATTCGTCATCCAAAATAGGCTCATCATCCCTCCCCACCCCCCTCCAACAGTAGTTGCAACAGCAATAGAAAAAGATCAAGAAGATGTCTGTTCTTCAGAGTCAACTGTGAAAAAAAGTCAGCAATATATAACAGCAGCGATGGACAAGGAAGAGCAAACCCAAACAAACTTGCTGAGTATTTGTTCATTTACTTTTTCTGAACACAAGCCAAAGTGCACACACTGGCTTGTTCTGAACTTCAGATACAGATGTCCTAATCTCCTTAGATCCTTCACAGATTTAGAATTCAGTCTCCCTGAGGCCCCTATAACCAAGTAAGAAAACTCTCTTTATCTAGCTTGGTGGCTGCCAAGACAGATTCCATGTCATTAAGGATGTCAGAGCTCAAAGCCTCTTGCAGACTTGGCATCAGTTCTTCTCCTTCTATATTCATTCCATCTCCTTCCAGTGTCCCAAGGTCCACATTTGTCCCTGGAATGGCTTCAAGGTAGTCTGGGAAACGGTTCTGATGGGATGGTATGTTACTTTGGCCGATACTGTCACCTAGTTATAACACAAAGATGGATATTAAGTATACTGGAAGTACCAAGCCTACAATTTATCAGGACAACTGGTTAAAGGTTAATCATGTACCTCTTGCATCATACAAGCAGTGTGATTCACAGAAATCCATCACAAACCCCAAAGATAACTTGGCTGCATGCAGACGTACAAAGAACATGCCTTTGTTTCCAACTTGCACCTACTGACCCAAATCTTACAGATCTTTGATGGCATTTAGCACAATTTAATTTTGACACTTGAAGGAAAAAGACAATACTGAGTCAAATATAGTTTTGGAGTGGTATTAACAACTCTGGATGAGGTACTATTCTTAGCCCTGAACAACATTACTTCAAAAAGCAAACACACTTAAATTCCTTATAAAAACAGGAATGATACTACTTATGAGCAATTTCCCCATCCTCCCAATACACTTGATTACAAATATATTACAATTGATTACAAATATATAGATTTTTTCATAAATCTAATGTTTCTTTCAGAGAAATAGGGGAAATAGGAAAAGGTAGAAAACAACGCAAAAAGTATCAGAGCTTTTCAGAACTGCTTGTTTTCATTGCAAATGGATACAAGTGTATTTGGAAAACATGCGTTAAAAATGTACACAAACCAGACCTGTATCCATCTCATCAACACTGTTCAGGAAGTCATCTGGGGTTCTGGGTACACTGTAACTGCTCATGCTAAGTCCACTATCTGTGCTTTCATCTCTGGAGTGATATGTTCCACTGTAACAGAAGAAAAGGAGGAAAAAAAATGAAGGTAGAGCACTGAAAAAAAAATAAAAGAGATGCTTGTTTTGAACTAATTTATCGGCTTTGAAAACACTACTACCATGAGAAATCCCCTATTCTAATAAAAAACTGAAGCATTTGTTTGCATGAGACACCTGGGTTTTATTTTATGCAGACCTTTTCCAATTAAAACCATATTATTTAGATTCAACTAAACCTGATGAGAACATACATAAGCAGCTTTAAGAAATGGCCTACTGTGTGTTGTGCATAATTTTAGTCTTTTCACACCCACCCAGCTAAAACCTTTCGAAGCATATCAGATAATCCATAATGATGATAAAAATAATAGTAATTATGGTGCACCCTTTTATGTTTCCATAAGGATAAAAAAATACTTCTAACTAATGTTCCCATGTTTAATCAACCACTGAAGTGTATTTTTAGGTCACTGATGTTATAAATAGTTGGAACTCCTTTAGCAATTCTTCAATTGCTTCCCACTGCTGCATTACTGCTTGTTCAGTCACACATGTCAAGCCAAGAGAGCACCCAAATATAAATCAAACCCTGGTACAGAAGCCATCCTATAAACAAACCCTACTCAGAATGATCTTGCTGACAGAACAGTTAACCAAACTGATGGCATGGGGCCTTACATGCCTTCACTTTCTTACTTGCCAGCGCAGCAAGCAAGACCAATAGAGCCACAGTGGAAAATGTGGGAAGGGGAGGGGAAGTAGGCCACTGTGTTGAGATTATATAGCATGGCTTTGGTAGCAGGGGTCCGCAGGGATCACTGTGTGACACAGCAGGAGGAGCTGATCCCATGTCAGCCAGCTGCTTCCAGGTGTCTCCAAAGTGGTCCAGCTGCCCAAAGCTGAGCCCATCAGTGACAATGGTGGTACCTTTGTCATAACATATTTAAGAAGAGGGGGAAAATGCTGAACAGCAGATGGGAGAGAGGAGTGAGAATATGTAAGGGGAACAGCCTGCAGACCCCAAGGTTGGGGCAGAAGGAGGGGCAGGAGGTGCTCCAGGCACCAGAGCAGAGATTCCCCCGCCGCCCTTGGCGGACAGACCATGGTGAAGCAGCTGTGCCCCGGCAGCCTGTGCAGATGCCAGGGGGAGCAGAGATCCACCTGCAGCCCGTGGAGGATCCATGCCAGAGCAGGGAGATGCCTGAAGGAGGCTGTGACCCCGTGGGAGGCCCATGTTGGAGCAGGCTGACAGCACCTGCAGCCCCATGGTGAGAGGAGCCCAGGCTGGAGCAGCTTTGCTGGCAGGAGCTGTGGCCTGCATAAGCATTGTTGAAGGCCATCATTACCTCCCTCCTCCTGCATCCTCTAATATTCAGTATTCACAAAATATTTTCAAAATCTGTATTTCTTCAGGTTATGTATCCTGAGATTCACTGAGAATCCTTACTGATTTTCCATCTGGCATCCTCAATGAACACCAACTTGATTTACTGCTCAAATTATCATTTGAAGACATACTAATCCTCCTCATGATGTACTTGTGAAGTATATAGTATATGCCTTTTTAACAGGTATGAAGAACCAAAATATTATGAACAGCTATTCAACATCAGATGCCAGAAGAATGCCTTCAGCTATGTATATAAATATATATATTTGATTCCATGAAGGCAACTTTGCCATACAAGAAAGGAGCTTAACAGTTCTTTATAGATAAATCATAAATACTTCTCTTTTTCTAGACTGATTTAAGAACAGAATCACCACATATTCGATACAATCCTAGTAATTAAACTTAAACAATTTAGAACTTCTGTGAACAAAAATCTGGTTTACTTTATGGGACAAAATACTAAAAACAGAACTGAGACTATGCTGAACTAAATCACTCCAGTGGAGAAGGCTTTTTGGCTGTTGGTCTCACACTTGGAATATCAAGCACTTCTCTTCAAATCACTCCTTAATACACATTTCCTCTTTCTTCAGCAAGGATTTGTTAATTTAGTAGTCACACCACCCAAAATTACCACATGCAACTAAACAGCATTACCCAAAATAGAGTGGATTCTTCTTCAAATAATCATTGTTAAAATATGTGTATACAAAAGAAGAAATACCAATTTAGGAGTTAAACAGAGAACTACCATCACTTCCAGTATAAATCTAACCGACAAAAATATATAAACAAGTGTGGCAAATCAAAAGGTGAAATAGTCTAATGAAGTCTGCACTGATGAATATCCCATTAAAAAAATAAAAAATCAAATATACCATAATGATTGCAAGTACTGAAGATAGCAGGCAGATTTGATTATGCACTTTAACCACTACTGAGCATTATCTCAAACTGCTCCAATGTAGTGATTCTCTGAGATTTTTTAATGCTTCTATGATATAGGCAGCAGAAAATATCAAACAACTCTGAATAGATAACTCTGGGGCCTAAATTTAGTACTGTCTCACGAGGAACTTTATATACACCCTATAAGGACAGAAAGAAGCATTTCCTAAAGTCTGAACTTTAACTTAAGGAGTATCAGCAAGACCTTTAGGTCATAGTCCAAAACTATTGGATTGCTTTCTGAGACAGCAATGCATATTCACAGATGTCCTTTCTTAAAAATCCCTTTCCCTCACCCATATGGCAGAATTAAGTGCAGTGCCACACATACACCTGCCTAGGAGACAAATTTTCAGACCAAAACACAAATTAAGTTAATCTCAACTCAAGTCAAATACAGATTTGCAGTATTTTGTATGGGGTAAGGGCTACATTAAAAAAAAAAACAAACCCAAACATATATGCCACCAGGCAAGCAGTATCTTTTTGTACTTTGCAGTAAATATCAATCTGCCATAAAATTAGAGAATGCAAATTTGCCCCTTCTTGCTTTTTCCTCTGTTTCTAGTTAATGGCAAAGATCCATCACTTTATATTTTATGTGTGTAGACTCACAATGGATAAACTGCATCAGCCGTTTGAAACCTAAAGATGCATTTCCTTCAGGTCAGAAGACAGGTTTTGAAGATGTGAGGACCTGTATGATGGCAACAGCCTTCCAGCAGTTCAAGCTAGAATTTTACTACACCATATTGATACCATCACCCATCTACAGAGGCTTCCCATACAAGAGCAAGTCAGGTTTAAATTGTCTTGTCTCTTCTATTTCATAGGACAAAGCCAGCACAGTCGAGGCTCGCCCAAGAACACCCTACAGGATGAATTCTATGTAGGATTATCCCTCCAAAAAACATCAAGTTTTCTAATCATAATTGTCAGTGTAGGAGATAAATCTTCCCAAAGGGATTACCTAAAATACAAATATCACTTATCTCAAGCTGCAGCAGTGTCTCTAAAGTTGTAATGTTTGGTGGGAAGCATTTGCAAGCTGAAATTTGAACAGTATTTCCAACAAAATAAACATTTCAAGTCAGAGGGATTTAGGAAAAAGTTTTATGGAAGACTAGTCTATATTGTAAGATTCTAAATCTTGAATGAAAATACCCACTTCAAAATAATACAGCATTTAAAATGAAACATGCCACTATTTGTAGACCTAACATTAGCAGAGTAAAAATACTGCTAAATACCTGAAGTGGAAGGGAGGGGTGAATGGGGAAACCTTAAAATGAACCTCAAGCTGTAATCCTAAATGTGCCTCACAGTTCATTTGATCTCACAGCGAGCTATTCACAAATTGAGTCAGTAATTTGAAATGACTGTTAGTCAACACATTATGCAGAGGCAAACATGTTATGACTTTGAATAAAAACCTTCCTACAAGTCTGAACAGACTACTTCCTCCCACAGGAGACAGCTTTTAATCTTCAGCTTTTACTAGACTTGCCATTTAAGGAAAGATTCATTTACAGCTGTGGCTCTTGGCACGGACAGATGTTCAAAATAAACTATTACATGTACCAAACAGAATTTTAAATCAAATTTCTTTCCTCTAGTAGCTATTCGTACAAACCTGTTAAGAAAGGGATCAGAACTATTTGTAGTCATTGTTCTCAGTTCCTGAGACATTCCAGGAGATGACACGGGGTTTTGAGATCCACCGTCTTGTTCCATTGTTGGAAGCTGGCTACGGAGAGCCAATTCCTAGAACAGCAGGAGAGGGAGAAAGAGAGATCATGTTAGGCATTTGAATGCATTTTCTGGATACATAAACACATGACATTATAGATAATTGATGCTTTTACTGCTTCCAGTAACAAGAGTTAAATGAAATGAAACTAAAGCTTCTGAGGACAAAGCAAGAATCTGTACTGGCTTCAATGAAAATGCAAGTTCCAGCAGCCATGACCACCATTACAGAGACTGCACTGTACATGTATTTATGGATATAAATATCTGTATGCTTACACAAAGATTTTCTAGTTCATTTCAGTATCTTTCTGCTAAGTCTATACTTAAACCAAAACCAGAATTGTTAATACTATCAGACCCCTAATATAACCTATATAGCTTTGCTAAATAGCATTTTATCCAGATTTCTTTTAAATTCTGATTTAGTTCCTGGCTCCCTTTGTACCTTTGAAAGCAAACTTTCAAGTCTTTCCCTAAAAGTTTCCATTCATTCCTCCTGTTTGAGGCATGCATTTGAAATTTCTGACTGATCAGATCCAGGATTAGTTCCCTATGTAAATTCCGTAGCTCCTCAAATTCGGAGTAATTTCTTAATAAGGCCTAGACACTGCACTTCTGAAGCTACAAACCTAATTGCATATAATTTTTTACCCATCTGAATGTTCACCAGCTTGAATCAAACCATTCATTAAGCTCGTAATTACTAATTGATGAAAACGTTAACATAAAATGCATCACATTAAGGGCAGATGGAAATAAGCAACATTTGATGTAATTTCCAGTGATCCTTCTCCCCTTTTTAAACAAGTAATACATGAGTTACACATGTGAAAATATAGTAATTTTCTTCAAGCAACTCTGTTCAAACATCATCAATGTCCCACCAAGACTGAGCTTTGTATTGCAGAGACTGACAAATCTATTGACCATCCTGTCACCACTGCTGGTAGTATGTGACTTCCAGGCTGTGCCTGGGAAGATAATCTCAGGCAAAACCAATCCTGTCAGTCTTGACAATACTTAATATTTTAATATTCTGTAAAATGAGAGACCTCCATCCATTTTCAATGATAAGCTTAAGGACTACTATACTGTAGTCCTTTAGTATATAAAACTAACTTTGCCCCAATTCTTTTTCCAAGTGATCTCTAAGAAATCTAAGGTTATTTCATTCTTTTTCCAGCAGACTGTGTATTGAAGCTTCCCTGCTGACAGGTTTTCTTTTCTTTTCTAATCTTCATATGCTTCACTCTCATTCCTGTGGATAACTATTCTACATATTCCTTTAGGTTTTATGTCTTGTACTAGAAAATTTTCTCACTACAGCTAATTAGATCTCTGCAGAAAATGTACAAGCATACCATTGGTTTCTGTGTTCATCACTGTGTTCAAGTAAACCTAGCCCTCTGCTCATCAGCACTTATCTGGCCACTGTTCTAACAAACAGTAATAATACTCCATCCCCATTTTCAGATCACAGGACATTAAACATCCTTTAATAATTTCTAAAGGCTTATCCACATGATTTTCAATTGGTTATGTAATGAAACCAAATGTAAAGCCTATATAATGATCTCTTACTTCACAGCTAAGTTTGCAGCCTTGTATCAGCGACAAGTTACCTGATATACAGGTAGACTCATCCACATCTAAAAAAGAAAGAAAGAAGCGTTCTTTCCTGGAATTTCCCAAACACTGATCTGAAGAAGGTAGAAGGTCTTAGACCAGCTATCCCAGAGACAGCTCAAGAACTGCTCACCCATGTGGTGTGTCCTTTTGCCCTTCCCTCTTGGTTTGATCTGTACATTACATCTTGATTTCTTTGGGCTGCAGTCCCTGATTTGGATGAAGAGGAGGAGCCAAAAGTGCCAGCAGACTGCAGAAGCAGCTTTGTGACACACCAGTGCCACAAAGAGTGGTTACAAGGCAAAGGCTACATGGAGTCATATCTGCTACTTTTACAGGAGTCAGAAGCACTTTCCCTTCAAAAGAATGTTATTACTCATCTAAGTAATAAATTTATGTCATTCTGGGAGTCTGAAAGAGAAAGGAATTACCAAAAAAGACAAGCTATTAAGAAACAAATACAGGGCAATTTTTAATAATTTTGTAAGACAAGCAGAGTTTCCTAAAGGCCTAAAGAGTATGTTAAGACTATTTTTCCTAAAAGGTATAAAAATGGAAGCTAAAGTTGTGTTGCTTAAAGAACAGTCTTTTCATTTCTCCTTCCTTATAAACCTGTTTTGCAATAAAAAATCATTGTAGGTTTTCTATACTTAAAAAAATGTATGGGAGTGTCCAAGTCTCTCCCACCTCCAAAACAGAGCAATGTGAACTCAAGGCTTTTGATTCATGCTTTGAAATATGTGCTTTATTAGAAGTATTTAAAGTCTGGAGGCAAAAATAAAACTATGACAAAATCCTGGCTTAGATTTCTATGAATTGATCTCATCCTATTTTTTTTTAAGTATGTCAAACTTGTTTTAAGTACCTCTGGGAAAAGAAAAAAAAGTAGCTACTGTTAGCAGAAAAGCTGAATTTTAGTTATTACACACACCAAAAAGATCTCCTTAAATAACTTTTAAAATAAGGTCAGCACTGTGTAATTTATCTGGCTGACCTCATGCACTTTTTTTTTTCATAATTCCAGACAGATTAAGTTTTACATTAAGTTACAGGTCATTCACACCATGTTCAAATTAACTTTATAAAACTACCCTTTTAGGAGCATTTTTATCTTCACTGGCTTTTGAGGAAAGGCAGATGACTTGTGCAACCAACTTATATTCTGACTGTATTAAACCTATGATATGCTACTCAATTTTACTTGATATATCCTGATAATTGGTTTTGCAAATTTACTTTCAAAGTGCCAATTTTAACAGTTCTGCCCCCAACCATCACTTGACTTTCAAATGATCCACAGGCTTTCCTGGGATGGGACAGAAGTTTTAGGGGAAAGAGGAGACCACAACACTTATGAGCAGACTTACAGTTGCTTCTTCAGATTACGTGCCTGCATTTTTGTGAGGGCCACAAAGTTCCAGCACACACACAAAAGAAACAGGGAAGACACGGGGACTGATGGAAGACAAATGAACTCAGCAATGAGGAGCTGGGCAATTTGTGAGGGCTGAGCAGGAAATGGACCGTTCACTGCTTCAGTCACAACAACCAGCACAGCCAGTGAATGCAGGTCTGATTTACTATACAGACTTTTAAACAAGGTTATTTATTCATAAAGATCTACACACATGAGCAAGCAATACAATTATTTTGTTGATCTGTCAAGCTTAGAAACAAGCTAGAAACAAGCAGTAGATACAGGATCAGCAAGCATATACAGAGGAACTTATAAATATGTAGTATGCTGATCTCATTAGCAAATACTCTAATATTAGCAGCAAATAAATAAGAAATCTTCCATTCTCAGCACAAGAAAATAATCTGCACAACATCCAAGAATAATGCCATCAGTACCTCGACATTATTTGCCTCTATTTCTTTCCACAGCACACTGTAAGGGAAGAAATCTGTTACTTAACTACTTGTTCAATTTTGTGACATATACAAAACTTGATTGACATCTGCTCTACTTTAGAAATTGCTGACAATCAGATGCTAACTGCAGGAAAATGGAAAGAGAGCTAGTAGGGATGGAGTGAAAGTCAAGTCATGCAATCTCTTTACTAGGACAGACAGACATTTTTAAGGTTTCACAAATAACTGATGATGATAAGCACAAGTAACTGAACAGATGCTTAGTGTTTTTAAATTTCCTGGATGTATCAACAGTTCTTGCTGATACACAGTAAGTCTGAAAGTTGCAATTTTTGCTACAGGCACCTTTGACATTTTTAGAATTTCAGTAAAATATGTCCTCATTCAAACCAGAAGAGTCTCTTACAGTGCTTTGTATAAAAAATTAAGCTGAGCAATTATTTGCTCTTTCCAGAAGGTAAGGCTTCCATACACAACACTTGGAATATTAGTGTCACCACAGGATACTGCAGTTCCATGGCAGAGTGACCACAACCTGGCAGGAACACTATGGTTATCCAGTACCAAAAAACCTGATCATAGATATAAATACAACCATGGTACTGTATCCAGGCTACATGGGGAAAAATGTCAAGAAGGATCAGGATGTTGGGCTAGATGACCTCCACCAGTCCCTTCTAACCTAGTGATTGTGTGACATGAAAAGTTCAGATACAGTTAAAAGTTAAGGAACACTTCTCAGATGTTTTTAATCCATCTATACAAGAGATTTCATTGGATGCAAGCTTCAAGAATGCCAGTGTTACATAATTTCTTTACAAATGAAAGACCTTGGCAATCCCTCTCTAAAACAGACTTAGCTGTCCCAGAATTAAGAGCACTGAATATATGAAGATTTAATTTTTATAGTTCCTTAAAAGAATATATAAAAATTAGCAAGAGAAGCAATTACTCTGCCACCAAGCACAGCTTTATCATCAGGGAAGCAGGTAATTCCTCCAAACTTTATTAATTTTATTCAAAAAGAAAGAAAGACCTGTCTGCAAGAAAAAGTTGACCAAAGAAATTTTAATTCTTCCTATACATTTTCCAGATTAACTAGGTCAGCTGTGATCTGATCCAGATGTACAGACTGGGACTTCAATAGCAGCAGCATCAGAGAAGACAGACTACATTTGCCTCTACAGTACAAGGCCTCAAGAAGCATTTAGAGAACCAGAACCCTGAAGCAGTTCTCTAAGCACTTTCTTCCACCTGTGGCTATTCATTACTTTACTGAGGTGATATGAAAACACAAAAAGTACATTTAGATGGTGTGACACGAATAGTCTAGTATAACAGAACTTTAAAGGTGACATGATTGCCCATTCTTCCACCCAACAGATCACTCAGACACACCTTGACTCATTAGCAAGTGCAGACTAATACAACTGATCCCAGGCAGGAGATTCAGTACGAAGCAAGTTTAAATATAAATGGAATCCGGATTTTTGTATGACTCCTTTCATCAGTTTTATACTCCAAACAGAGCAGAGTGACCGGTACATATACATTTAATGAATTATCAGTATAGTCCCTTTGAGTTTTTGCTGTTTTGTAGGATTTAAAGCCATAATTTCAAGTTCCAAAAACCGCATCTTACACAGTACAGTATGAAACTGATAACAAACTTCTCCATTTCCTGTATTTTTTTGAGTTGGCAACAGGAAGAAATTAGTGGAAGAGTGAACAATGACAGGGCTTCAGGCATAGAAGAAAACACAGAATAGACTTTTGGCATTCTGTAAGAAAAACATCCCCTATGAATGACCTAATTATGCCAGAAGATAAGGTATTTTACTCCACTACTGTGGAGTAGTTCTCCTTTGTTTATTCTCTTGTATACCCATTATTCTTGAGGACTTTTTTTTCTCCTCCAGAATAGAATTGAATATTGACTGATAAGATCATTATGTGGCTAATGCTTTGTTAATTAATCAAATTACTACATCTCAATTAAAATGCTTCTGTTTAAGAGCGGCTCTGGTATTGCCAAACAAGAAAGTATTTATTCCAGGGTGTCAGCACTAAGGTCTGAGGTTCCTATATCTCAGAACTAGTAACATTCAAGGTTGTGGTACTCCTCAGAATGCAACAGTACATCAGTACTCATGGCTTCCAAACAGAGGATGCTTTCATTTATTATGTTTTTCTTGCCCAGTGCATACAGAGGTTTTTCTTAAAAAAACAAAGAACAATACAAGCTAATATAAATATTGGTACTAAGAATCAGTAGATTAAAATACTGTTATCATTAGTAAACATGAAGTTCTCCGAATATATCCATAAATCCACCCTTCCAGAGATTCATTCTATGTTCAACTTCTTTAGCAACTGAAAGAAGACCACATTAAGCTGTTTATTATGCTTCACATTTTGAACAATTTTATTTTGGTCTGAGCTTTTCATAACTATACAGTTGTTTTCTATACAGAAAATGTATGTGTGCAAGAGCCAGTTAAATGTCCAAATGGAAAAACTATACTGCATAGCAATTATTTTGTTCATCTAATCTATTAAGTAATTCTGTTCTATTATGCATGCTTAAAAATCGTAACTATTTCAAGTGACTCTTCATTAAGTGATAAGAGATATCCTTCTCTAAGATCATACCTGCTTTAATGAACTGATAAGAACATTCATATGAACAGTACTTAAAAGTCACCAACTACTACCTTAGATAGTTTGCTTCAAACAAACATCTTGATGACATCAGGACTGGAACAGCAGTATCCTCAAGAATGCTAAACAAGAAGGCTGTTTTCAATGTAAAAAAATGTGTAATGAATTCCTTGTTCGCTCTTAAATATTGATATAAAGTTGTGGTAATGCAGCACTCCTAAAAACAGTGTTAGGGCTGTGACCAGAAAAGTGATTCAAAAATGTGCATGGCAGAGGCTGGTTTTTTGTTTGTTGGTTTTGGTTTTTTTTCCCTTCTTTTTTAGAATGTTTTCATGTAGCAAAAATGTTCCCTGCTAGCCTAATTTAATGCTTTCATTTTTCTAATTACGCTGAAACATCAGTTTAGAGCCTACCTGATGTTTTGGAGAATTTGCTGTGCTGGGATTGATATTCCGCAATGCCTAAGAGTAAAAATAAGATGGATAAAAATTACTTTAGCTGCACGGTTTACCTATGCAGGCTGTCTTATAAACACCATCTTGTAGTATCAAGCCCCCGAGACAGGCCAGATGAGACAGGATAAGGGAGTTAAGAACTGTGAAAATCATGACACAGTGAAACAAAACTCACAGATTTACCAAGGATGTATATTTGACAGACAAGCTTAACAACTAAGGAGAACAACATGAAGAGAATCGGTTGTCACCTGCTCCAAAGTTAGTCAGGTTCTCAATGACAACTGAGGCAAGAAGACAATTAGAAGGCCTACCTAGACGCATGCTAGCACAGGGTAAAATGTCCGTTTGTGGATTAATTGCAAAGCAGAAACAGCAGAAGCCCAGGTGCTTAAGCAGAGAGAAAGTCCTGATGCCACCTTTGCAATGTATTCTTACCTAGAGTACTATAAAAAGTAATGGCTGTAAAGATGACCCATCTTACACCAAGAGATGCTGAAGATTCCTACAAAATAGTCCTTGACTACAAAGGGGATAACGGAAGTCAGATTCCAGGACAGAATACTGCAGGTGATGAAGAAAGAGAAAAGCTGTCTTTGAAGACATTAAGATGTTATCCTCTTCTGAAACAAGACCCATCACCCAAAGTGAAAAAGGAAAGATTTTAGAAGGTTTTCCTCAAAGAAAAGATTAGTGCTTTTTCTGCCAGTGTCAAAAACCCAAAGAAATATCTTAAGTATCTAGCACAGATAGTTATAACTATTAAAACACTCAGATTGAACAATCGAAGCAGAAGGCTTAGAGTCAAAAGGAGATCAAGCCCGAATTCCAATCCAGAGATTGCGAAGTCCAGCCCTACACTTTAATATTTGCTACAGCCATATCCATATAGTAGAAAACACTGAAAGGCATAGTTTGCAGCCTTATTATGAAGTTTGAAATTCTTCAGGATAAGAAAGCCACAGGTTCAAAATGCAGCACAAGTTATTCAGTTGTTTCATGCTCACTCTACTATTGAACAGGTAAGATTTTGGCAACAAGGCCTTTCCTCAATGTATCTTATATAAAGTTTGAAAATACTTCAAAATCCTACAGACTGCAACAGGTTCTAAAACTGAAGATTTTATCCACTTAAAAGGGAGAACTAAAGTAGCTGTGGGAAATAACTTTTTTCATGACTTGGAACTCAATGAATAAGAAATATATTATTGTGAGGAATATCCAATCATATCAACAGTCCACACTGTCATCTTTATAGTTTGTGAAGCCTGCTCTTTAAGAGTTTTGTTAGAGGGAGGAATGAGGGAGGGAAGCAAAATTCTTCAGTCTTAAAAAATTAAATACTTTCACCACCAAACTGATATCAATAAGAGAATGAACTCAGACCTTTTTAGATCTCAAAGCTTTTTGTATAGTCACTGGTCTTTAGGACTCGCTGAAACAACAATTTAGAAAAATCAAAACATAACATACAAAAGAAATAGTGGAAGTAGGTGTCTAACCTGTGGCCTCACCTGCCGAAGCAGTTCTTGATGCTTCAGTCTCAGCCTTTCTTTCTCCATCTGCAGCTGCTGAAGTCTCATCTGTTGCTGCTGATTGGAGCTACTCCCTCCCATTACACCACCCTGGGGACTCTGAGGAGCCAGAGGAGGTGGCTGTTTGACTGGAGCACTTTGGCTGATTCGCTGATTCATGGCTAAGGAACCAAAATAATAAACATTTAAAAAATAAGTTCAAACAAATACATGCAGCGGAAGTAGTATTCATGAAAGGCATACATTAAAAAAAATACAAAATTACAAGGCATGACAGTACAAAACATGCAGCTACATTAATATTCAGAGTGTGAAACATATGCTCATGTGTGAGCAATTGATGTGTGCAAAATTAACACAACAGTCTCATGGTTAAGACCATGTACTTATTCTAAAAGATTCTAAAAACAGTTTAATGGGCTAACTGGTGAAAAATTCAAAAGTGGTAGTAAAAATATATTTCAAATTGAATTAGAAAAATCTCTCTTCTTTCTAATAAACTATTCTCACTACAGACACAAATAGTAAATAACTTGTTTTATTCATATGGAATCATAGGTACATTTAACTTCAGAACACACAGAACGACAAAATGGATCATTTCACTTTTATCAAAAACAATTAAAGGCTACCTATGGTGGTGCAAGGTCATGCAACCAGCATTCACATCCTTGTCACATCACTATTTTAGTGTTAGAGATTTCATTTAGAGCTTCTTGATAGGCAAAATTACAGTTGGTACAGAAATGGCAAATGAATTTTACACCCATAAATATGGACATCAACATAGAAAACATTTTGCTAGTGCTTCATTTTCTTTTATCCCCCAGAATTATGCATTGCATTTTTCCTGGGCAGCGGAGCCTAAAAATGGAGCTTTGAAAGCATAATGCACAATGAGAACCCATCTTCCCTTCCCCTATAAAAGCAAGGCCTAAGACAATTACATTTTATAAAATAATACGTAACTGGGATGCATGAGGCCTGATTTCTCCCTCACATGACACCAATATGGTTAAAGTCAACAGAGCACTGGGGTTTCCAGAGTGAAAGAGAGGGTGGGAAAAGCTAACTGTATTGCAAGGGCACTATTTTCAGGGGCTTTCAGCTTGGAATTAGCTCTCCATCTCCATGGTGTTCCCTGTAACAGACTGAATCTGTTAACACTCAGTATTCTGCAGAATGCATTTGCTGAAGCAATGATGGGAGAATGGCAGGGATTTTTTTTTTTCTGGGAATGAGGATTATGGTTTACAGAAACTAAGGAAAAAAAAAAGAGAGGTTCCTTTAGGATGACAGGGTGAAGTAGGGAAAAAAAAATCTGTAGAATTAGTTTGAATTAATGTTTTCATCATATAGAGGATTCCTGGAATACTAATATTTCTAACTACCATAAGAAAGGAGATTTCTCTCATAAAAAAATCTATACAATCTTTTCACTGAAAAGCCCTTCAGTCTCCACTGTCTTTTGTGTGTTCAATTTAAGGTAAAATAGTGCTGTTTTTCTGTTCCAAGAAAGCCAACATATATTTATCACTAAATAATAAATATAAATAAATAAATAAATAAAATAAATAATCACTAAATAACACTAAACCAATTAGAGACCCAACCCTGCAGTCTACCCTTTCAACTAATCCACTGGTCCAGCACAGACTCAACAGTCTAATGGGCAGAAGGGTCATATTTTCATGAGTCCAGCCACCGTAAAATGCTGTAAATTAGCTTACAGTTTTTTGAAACAGTATTTCATGCAGTTACTAGTTAAAGAGCTTCATACATATAATTGCTACTATGATAGAACTTCCTGTTAGGTAAGTGAACCTGTGAAGTAGGAATACAAACTGGATCCCAGTACCAAGTAGAAACAACTAGGGCTGCAGTTCAGTTCCAACCTACAAGTCTCATCCTGATGCAGCATGAAAAAAAACAGTGGGAAAATGACATTCCTGTGGATCAAAGGCTAAAATCAAGCAGTGGCTGTTACGAGACATCGAGCACCAGTTCACTGTCAGAACTGAACTTCAGGACAGAAGGTGACCAGAGTGAGCTCTGCCACGCGTGCTGTGATCTCTGGGCCAGTGGCAGGAAGAACAGCCCAAGACACTACCAAGAAACTTGAGCAAAAGTCCTAACACCATCAACATCTGGCCTGTAAGGATGTGGGCAGTTTAACTACAAGCACCAGGAGCTCCACTGGGCAATATTTTGCTGGAAGCTTGACAGCAATTACTCAACCTTCATTTATCAAAGTTGAAGCAAAGTTGAAGCTAGAGAAAACAATGCAAAAAGCAAGGCAGCCCATCGAGCAGCTTTAGATAAGCTAGACAAGACATTGCTGGAGTGGGGAATAGATCTCCTCCTTTCTCTCTTTTCAAATCTGGAACCAGGACCATGCCTTTTGCTCTATAGATCTTACTCTCTTTCACAAAATAAGCAGAAATGAAGTTAATAGGGGACAACGGAAAACAGCATTCTCCTGCTGTTAGTTAATTCTGCAACCCTATCCAAAGTCTGTGCTACCTCTCAGATGTTCCAGGATCCAAACCCTGCTAATAAACAAGATGGAAGGTCAATTACAGTGTAAAGTCAAAAGGAAGAAAAATTCAAAAACTACAATCACCTGAAATGAGCACATTTAAGTTAAAAGCAAACTAGCTTGTAGAATTTAAGTACTCAAAGCTGGAAAATGTCAATTTTCTTTTGGTTAAAAACACTCCCTTTATAGTCTAGTCCCCAGTTATATAATCATGGTTTCAGAGTCCTACCTCAATGCAGTTCACAGCCAAGTCATGTTACAGATAACCTCATAAAAATTTAATAGTGTCTAACCTTAGTTAAACACTTCAGTGCAGTATCACTAACATTCCTTTAACATGTTATGAATTTGTTTTTCCTGCATGCACCATACAAGTATCTCTTTTCCTCAAAGAGGCAGCTTTGTATTTCCTGCTCATGCCACTTTCTGCTCTTTTTATTTCTGACAGCTGCTTGTATTATTCCTGTTTTCTCTGACCACTGTTTGCCCCATTCTTCTCATCTACTTGACTTTGCAATTTTAACTTTAAGAAAGAAATCACGTTTCTCTGATGTTTTTCATTTTATTCCCTCATTCTAGATCCCCCAAATGTCTTCTAATGTCCACTTTGAAAGTAGTATTTCTAAGAAAAAGCATATCTAAAGCAGAAATATCATAAGATATTGAGACTTTGGTGTATACTTAAAATACATCAATAAATATTAGGGGATCACTTAATTATATGATTTGATAATTATTTGGAAACTGAATCTAAAATTCCACTATTACTATTATTATTATCATCATCATCATCGTATAATTGAAAGGATGTTTCTGAACATTTCATTATTTCAGGAAAGTGCAAAAGACTTCTAATTGATAAGATTTTAAACTGTCCTCAGATTTTCTATATGCGCGAACTCTTTTTAACAGTGAAATTAAACTAAAAGTCAGGATATTAGAAGAAGATGCTGCCAACTGAATTTTACTGACTTAACATATCCAAGTGAAAAAACCACAACAATAGTATCAATGATTTTCATACACCTTGGTGATTACACAAGCGTGCTATCTTCAAGGGAAACTCAAAGAAGAATGTAATTATCTATAATTTCCAACACAGTATTTAATGAAAAAGTGGGGTGGAAACACATCTTGTTTCAAGTGACAGGAAAAAACAGAGGGTTTTAAAGCTTTTTGTTGTTGATTTGCCGTTGAGGTACTTTTGCTTGCTTGCTTTTTGATGAACTTTTTTTTCTTTATACATTCCCAATTCCCCATTACTTACATGGACACAACTGCAGAAATCTGCACTCTAAAGAACATGCTCATTAATGTGATTTCAGATAGCAGATTTTATTTTTTGTACACCTAATGTATTTGTAATGATCCTGACAAGCACAGCTCTTATGAAGTACTTCGAATTCAAAGGTGAAGAGCTTCATTTTATCTGTTAGCTAGGACTTACGAGTTTCGAATACATTTTGTTCCTTACCTTCCATGGCCATGGAAAGCATTTAAATAAGGGGCTCTGCACCCACACAGAGGAGGATGCAAAGACCTCACAGGCAGAGCAGGAACAAACAAGTCTTTGTTTCTAGAAGAGGGGGATTTGAGGGAGGAGGAGGGGCAGACAAGTTAAAAAACATGGGCAACTTAAGACAATAAAAAAGATCTTGTCCTAAAATATGGCTTCACAATCTGCAGAATACAGTCAACTGCAATTGCTGCAATACGGCTTTGAGAAAATTAGTGGTCTTTAAATGCTACACATTAAATGTTCTACTGTCAGCAGCAGAAATGCCTCTTCTTTACTATACCAGACAATACCTGACAATTCCTGAAAAAAGTTTAGACTGCTGTCGACATACATGAAAAAAACCAAACAACCAAAACCCAAAAAAAGGATGAAGCGAGAGAAGCAATTACCAGGCATTGGTGTTAGAGAGAAAAGGCCAACAAATTTTTAACAACTCAAGCATAAAAGGCTAATTTCTCTCCCAAGATCCTCTGTCGGTTGAAAATCCCAAGTCCAAGGGCAGTGACAGTTTGCAGTAACACAGCACCTCTCTCCTATGCAGAATTACACGCAGAGATTGCACCCTTAGTGATTAGGGCACACAGCTTAATGTTGTTTCTTCCCTACTTATAATTCCACCCTTCAAAGCTAAACCTAATTTTAATCAGCCAATTCAGAGATACAACTTAGCTGAACAAATAACAACAAAAAAAGCTCAGGATGTGACCACACTATAGCTGAGTGTCCTTACTAATAAGAATCAATGTTTTCATGGGGGGAACTAAAGAACTTGTCCCCTTCAGCTCCATTTTGAAACTAGATATTTTGAAACTGTTGTGCATAATTTTTGGCTGTAGTCAGGTTTTAACCTGGTGCTAGTTTGCAACACTTCAACAAAGGCAAAAATTCTCTTTGCTTACATTTAAAAGAGCAATGAAGAAAAAAAAATACCTGTAGGATCTGAAAGAGTCTCGGAACTAATAAAAAACATGTTCCGAGGGGATTTTTAAGAAAGGCTTTCTACAACAATTTGTTGTTTAATCAGGATGTAAGTCATGTTTCTGCATTATATTCTTTATAATATATTGCTATGTTACTCTAAGGAAATCCCACTCACAGTTTCA